TGTGTTTTGTATACAACAAACAAGCTTATAATGATATCTGATTACGTTATTACAAGCTTGCACGAAAAGGCTCAAGTTTACAATAACACAACTATGTCCTCCTTCTACTGACTCTAAGCCTATTACATTTGGGGTGGTCGGGCGCATGGCGTTCTCGCCCGCCGCCTCGATACCCTACTCAAGTCTCGGGGACTCTAGGGCTGGTCAAGTGAAGGATGGATGGCCGGTGATGCTGGTGGTCGAGACCCATGAGCCGTTGGTTGGCTTGCGGTGATGGCATTTCCGGTGGCTTGTCGATGGCATACCTGCACGGTGATGTCCCACCTCCAAGATAGGCTAATATCGCCAATTATCTTTGACGACAATTCCATTTTGGGCCGTCCGAAGCTCTTCGGCCTTGTTTGGGTCTATCTCCTTCGGGTACCCAGCCTCCAAGCGTTCGAGGTTGATCAGAGGGTAGTGAGCACCGCTCCCTTTCTTCCGAAGACAGAATAGGTGGCGGAAGAGGTCGAAATGGGGTTGGAAGCCACCATAAGCCTCGCAGAGATGGATGAAGGTGGAGACAAGAAGAATCGAGTTGGGATGTAGATTGCAAATCCCAATCTCGTAGTACAAGCAGAGACCACGAAGGAAAGGGTGCACTGGAATCCCAAAACCCCGTTTGAAGAAATCTTCAAAGACCACAATCTCACTGGTTGTGGATCGGGAAGCTTTCTCCTACCGGTGCACGCCATCCATAAGTGCCTTGTTGTGGAGCACCCCCATGGCGACGAGGTCCTCGATGGTGCGCTTTCGTTGCTCGCGATTTCCACCATTCCTTCGCCATGACCTGCTTTTCTTACAGGCGTCTCCCTTCGCCATTAGGTCGTGCTTCCTAAGTGGGTGGATCAGGAGACCGAGGGATTGGTGATGCTTTTGGGGCAATAGGGTTGGCGGGAGGAAGAAGAAGGTTGCGGCGGCGGATGACAATGGGGAGCGGTATGAGTAGCTTACGGATCTGCATTATATAAAACAACGAGCCCCGTCGTTTCGTTCGCCCGAGAATATTGGGGGTCGTGACGCTGCGCCGAGGGTTATTCACACAACCTCGAAATCTGCGCCAATAAATGCGCTACTTCATTAACGAGCAGTGTCGCGCCTCCCGTTGACGGTGTAAGGAGGCCCTGGCGACACACCTCAATACTGGTGTCAACCAACTGTTTGCAAAAAAAAAAAAAAAAAAAAAAGATGAATGACGTACCGTACCTATTGACTTTTTTGACCGAACGTGTCAGACTGGTCTTGGCAGAGAATAGAGAAAAGTACACAAAATAATAGTACAAGCAGCGCAAGTGATCGTGGATTTGTTTTGACCACTACTGTGCTTGGATACTGCCCAGACCACTAATGTGCTCGGGGACTGCACAGACCACTACTGTTCTCAGACCACTTTTTGTGCTCGGGGATCGCTCCGACCACGGCCGTGCTCGGGGACTGCCCCGACCACTGCTTGAATAATGGCTCTCCTTGGCTACATGTGATTTGTACTCACATACAGTTAAGAGACTTTTTCTTTTAGACCTTGCTACAAGGCTCATACCTCGCCTTCCCAAGCAAGCTCGGGACTACATCGGTACGATGCACTGCCGGTGCATCTCGTATCGCTTTGTACGACGATTGGATTCTCAACTTAACTGGGAATTCTTTTTAGACCCTGGCACCACGTGCCTACGTCACCTACTACCAGGCTCGGGGACTAAGTGGGCACACTTCACCTTGCGGTGAATGTGTTTGTTTTTCGACCCCTACGCCTCTGATGATCGAGGATGCTACGCTTCAAGACGCACTTACATTTCTTTCAGAAATACAAGTGGGCACACTTCTCAGGACAGAAATCTTTTTCTTTTTTTTAAGAGCACCATACATTCTTGGACAACCTACTTCTCGGTGATGACGGTGGTCGGGGCGTCAAGAATTCAAGCCTTGCTTGTCGGAGAAGGTTAAAATGGCGTGTCGCAAACATAATACATGATGCTCGGGGACTAGGCGTGGGGGGTATTAACCCCTATACCCTTACGGCTAAGCTTGGGTTGGCTTTGGATCGATAGGTTCATCCCACGAAAGATGACGTCGGCCCGATTAACTTTGATCGAGTCCCGCACAAGGAATAAAAAGGCGGATTTGGCGACCAAGCAGGATCTCGGTCGATTAGAATAGGAATCTTATCCGGCCACATATGGCAATTGTAACCGACTAGGATTAGTTTCAGATCTGTAACCCGCCCCCGGACTATATAAGGCGGGCGGGGACCCCTCTAAAAATGATCTCTCATTGACATACAGCAATACAAATCAGACGCAGGACGTAGGTATTACACCTTCTTGGCGGCCGAACCTGGATAAAACCTCGTGTCTGTCTTGCGTCACCGTCTTGTTTGGGACTTGCGCACCTGTCTGCCGATAATCTACTACCTTGGGCATACCCCTAGGTAGACTGCCGACCATATTTCGTCGACAACCCCCTGATCGAGGAGAGGACCTGTGCTCACCACAGGGGATGGTTCACGTGGGTCAGCTTCTCGCCGATGGGAGCAAATCCTTGGAAGAGCACAACAGGTTGCACGGAGGAGGAAGAAGTCATGGCACGAGTCCGTGAGGAAGAAGGCTCTAGATACCATGTAAAGAATAGGGTTAACGAGATGCCTCTCCCTGAGCCTCTCGGCTTCGTGTTTATAGAACCAGTAACAGCCCTTGGTGTGGCTTGTACAACACTTCAAGTTACAAGGGATAGACTCAACAACAACCTAACAAGATCTCCTATCTTCATGTACAAGATGCGGCGCATGCATAACAAGCTAGGCGCCGGCTAACAAACCCTATCGGGCTAACTAGTTCCGCTAACATTCTGCAATGCTCCTTTTCATGATCCTAACATTGTTGTCTTCTGAGTAGTATTATGTTACTATCAGCTTCTTATGGGTCATCTTGCTGTGTTCTTTGTTCTCCCAAAATTTTTGTTTGGTGCAAATGAACCTCCATTCCTCCAAAAATTACTTGTTAGTACTTAGTTCTAGTTGCTACTTGACTTCTTTAACAATCTTATGTTGGTCGATTGAGCAATCTTGATTTTTTGGAGCAAGTAGTTAGTAAGGAACAGTGAAATAGTTACTGTTGTTTACCTTTTTACCCAAGAGCTCAAGAGTTTCTGTGCTGCCAATAGTGATTAGTTTATCTATCCATGTTCTAGTTGCAGTCTGCTAATTTAATTGTGCGAAAAACCACCGCGGCTGTGTGTTCTATTCTGTGCCTGATGGTTTTTAGTTTTATGTATTGTAGATCTAGCTGCAAGAAAAACTTTCCGTGGTAAAGTGTGGTTAGTTTTGAAGGCCCTGTCCAGAGGCCATTCAGTATTCAAACCAAAATTCCAGTGTACATTCAGTTTACATTTCACTGTGCATGCATTCATCACTGGGTTTCTTTTCTTTGAGAGACTATAGCTAGCTTTGTCTTTTGTATTTGTGGATGGATCCTGCGGTGGCAGTGGAGATTGCTGGGCGGAGATGCACCATTTGAAAGAGATGTGCGTGCATGATAACTCAGGGACGCTTTAGGCTTTACACATATTGATGGTGATGATTCAGTTGGGCACACTGCATTCCAGTGCAACCCTAAGCTGTGGCATAGTTCTGCAATGCTTCTTTATTATTTCTTTACCTTTTTTTTTGGTTAAGGTATGAGGTGTAGCGATACAGTATATCTACTAACATTATTGTCTTTTGAGTAGTATTAGTCTTCTGCAATGCTCCTTTTCATGATCCTAGTGACTGTTCTTTAAAGTATGAAGTTTTGAAGTTTATTTTTTCACAATTTTAATGATTAGTTGATTTCATGTTGCAGTCCAGAACAGCTTCAGAAGATCATCTTTTCCACAGGGGATAGTGAAAGCAGTCCAGGTAGCGATACAGTATATCTACACAGCATGTGTGTCTGTTGCTTGCATTAGTTTCCCAGTAGTTTTAGTGATGTATCAGTACATTTGCAAGCTAGCTACTAGCTATGCAGATTATCTTGTACTAGTTGTGCAGATTATCTTGTAACGAAGTAGCAGATTATCTTTCTTGTTCTCAGGAGCATGTGATGTTTTAAACTTTTTATTTTTATTTTTCCTAGATTATCTATTTTCCATTTAAAGAGCTAGTCTATATGTTTCTTTTTTTATATTTCAACTTTTCGCAGTAGATAATAGAGTTTGCAGCAGAGTGTCTATTCATCCTTGCTTATGCTGACGGCTGAATACAAACAATAGCTTGGGGTGAACAGCTGGAGGCCTGGTTGGCAAATGGTAGATTTTAATTGGTTGGTGACGGAAGCCACGGTGCAAGCTGGTTTGGCTTCTGCAATCGAATATTCGAATGTACGTGTGGGCTGGAGCGTCCTGGATTGGTGTGGGTTCATTGTCAGGTTTAGATGGAGGCGACGAAGGTGACGAGGATGCCCACACTGTGGCGTCGAGGACGGGGGGCACTTACTTTTCCTTTTCTCATAACTTTAAATTGCTTGATTGGCGGCCCTATTATTATTATTATTATTATTAAGCTCATGTAGTGTTGTCATAAAAATTAAATTTTTCTTGGCACATAAAAGTACAACAATGCGCTATATTAGTCCTATAAATAGAAAAATAATATGAATGAATTGTTGAAGCATTCCCTTATCTAGGTGATGGCAGAAATTGTAATGAAAGGTTAAATTAAGACGGAGTATAACCAAACGCCAGAGCCATCCATCCTTCCTCGCTCTCTTCCCCTACCGCCGCAGCACCCGGTCCAAGTTCATGGCGTCCTCCACGGCTCTACCGCCCCGCTCCACGTACAGCACCCCGCCGTCGCCCTCCCGCACGCGCTAAGCCGACTCCCTGCCGCACGCGCTAAGCCGCGGGTGAGACACTTCGAACCCGCCGCAGCCCGCAGCAAGATCTCGTCGCGTTGGCGCTCATATATAGTCTCGTACTCCTCGCCTACAATGGCGGTTCCCTCCTCCAGCTCCTGCGAGGTCTTGGACCTTGGCTTGGCAGCGAGCTGCGACGATACAACCTCACAACTCTTCTTCAGCAAAGGTGGCGGCGGTGACTTGTCTTGGCCGGCGGCGGCGGGGGTCGGGTCCGCGCTGACCAACCAAAAATCACTGGTTGCCCTGTGCGACAAGTACGGGGTGCCCAGGGAGTTCAAGCCGGTGCCCGCCGACACCTTGAGGTGCGGGGTGTGCGAGACGCCGCCTCAGGGCTCGAATGCCCTGTGCATCTACTCCGACGCGCTCGAGGCCGGTCTGCGGTTCCCGCTCCACGACTTCTACCTGAAGCTCCTCCGGCACTACCGCCTGGCGCCGAGCCAGTTGGCCCCTAATGCGTGGAAGTACATGGCTGCGTTCGTGCTGCGCTGCAAGGATGCCGGCGTGCAACCGCTGGTATCCGCCTTCAGATACTTCTTCTCCTTGTACGCTCACAAGAACGGGGACAAGGCATTGGAGTGGCACCATTTCCAGCCCTGCGCCAGCCGTCCCCGCCTCTTCTACGGCACTCTGCCCACCAGGTACGACTGGAAAACAAGGTTCTTCTTCCTTAAGTCCCCGGAGGGGATGCCGTGGAAGTGCCCGGTGGCGTGGGGCAAGCCCAGGAGGGAGGACGCCCGCGCAGTGGAGCTCACGGATGCGGCGGTAGACAAGCTGAAGCAGATTCCATGCATCGATTTGAAGGACTACTTGAGCCTCCACGCCCCGCCCGTCGGCGCTCTCACCATGCTGCAGCTGCACTCCACGCCCGCGCCCATGGCGAAACCGGAATGCGCAGCGGCCAGCGCCCGAGCTCTGGCTCTCACCTCGCACCCCCAGCTGCACGCGGCGTTGGAAGCGGGAGCCAGAGCGGCCAGCGCCGCCGACGCCGCCGGCGAGGGTGACGACTCGACGCCTCGGAAGCGCAGGTGTCCTGGTCCGAGTCCGGCGGCCGTGACGCCTCAAAACTCTACCATTTCGGCATCGTTCGATGGAGCCTCAGGCAGCAGCGGAATCTCCCTGCCGCCGGGGATTTGGACAGGCAACTCCGACTATGAGTACGACATGGTGCGAATGCAAGGCGAGCAGCGGGAGAACCAGATCAAGTTACGGGAGACCAAGTTACAAGAGTCAGAGGCCAAGTTACGGGAGACCGAGGCCATGAGTGACAAGTTCTTGGACTACCTGTATAATAAAAGAGCCGAGAATGATCTTCTCAAGGAGAAGCAAGCCCGGCTCATCGAGGAGCAGGCGGCCGTCGTCGCTCGTATGAAGGCAGAGCGCGCGGCCGAGGTCGCTAAGCTCCAGGAGGAGCACGCCTCTGCAGTCGCACAGCTCACAAAGCACCTCAACGATGAGCACGCAGTCAGCATCGCTCGGCTCAACGAGGAGCACGCGGCCGACCTCGCTCGTGTGAAGGACGCCGCGGAGAAGAAGGTGCAAGATGTCATGAAGAATGTCGTGCGCATCCTCTGCCCAGAAGCGGACCTGTCACAGCTGGATGGCCCAAAGCTCAAGGGAGATCTCGCTGCTGCTGGAACGCCTGAAGCTGAAGGGAGATCAGCGACATCATGAACCAGTAAGTTGTTTGTGATCGTGCAGGATTTTTCTGCGTGATTCTGTTTTGCAGAGTTTTCTTCTTCCTTTATTTAGCTCTTATTGCTGGTGGCATAGAGTGCATATGCGGTTCATCATCTGTCTACTGGAAATTACTATTAGATGTGTGATTCATCTCTCCGTTATGAGAAGCTACTTGATAGTTTGGCACCACAATTAAGGACTCAAAGATGTCTAATTCACGTGATCTGATAGTGTTTCAAGCATTGAACTGAAGTTTGGGGCACCTAAGCTCGTTGATTTTAGCTAAGTAAGCCATGCAGCAACTACAAATGGTTTTCTAAAGAAAACAGATAATATACCTTACATTACAGTCCATATATACAAAACAAATCTCATGCATACAAGTAATTGGTCATAAAATCAGCGTGTGCTCATGGATAAGGTGCTTGCACTATATTTTGAACAAATAAGATCGAGAACAAGGCAGGCCGCAACACCAGCATACTCAACTTTCAGATCATTTTTGTTCTTCCACAGTTGCTTCACTTGACCAAGCTCTTTCCAGAATTCTTCAAGCAACCAGGAACTTGCAGATGTGTATAATATAGTGATTAAAAAGAAGAGTAGAAACAATAAGATGAGAAAAATATATAGTTGATCACAGTCTTACCACATCCATAAGAAGGGTTAGGTTTGGAAATTGTTGCGATGCCAATGTGTACCGTCTAGTATATGCCAATTGTTAAGCAATTTTTTTTTGTATAAGAAGCAGGCACTAAAATTCAACTACAAAGACCAAAAATGACTGCACATTATTGCTAGTCTTACTTCATGAAACACCTCACTCCAAACCTTGGTTCACTGGCAACAAATGGTTAATCTTGAAACCTCTCACTCCAGCCTTAGCTCTAGATTTACTTGCCTAGTATTTGTGATTCATATAATAATTTATATATGTCTGAAGCATCTAGATCTCTCTAGGCCTGAAGTTTTATTCCTCTGGCTAAGCTGTCGTGAACTGCTGCTTTGGATAAGTGTCTTAATTTTCTCAGATCCCCACAAAGCTTAGCATTAATCAAACTTTGAGCCATATATTAATACACTGATATTTAACTATTCCATTATGAATCAGCTTTTTTTTATTCTATCTTTTTGTGTTTCTGTTTTGCCAGAGTATTTTGGTTTTCATAGTTAGCTCTGATTACAGGCATAGAGAGTACATAGTTCATCATCGGCTTACTCGAAAATATTAGATGTGCGACTTATCTCTCGGTTATGAGAAATTACTTGATATTATTTGGCACCACAATGCTAGAAAAATGTGTGATTCATTTTTTTGTACATGAACTTGCTGATGTGTACTCCTATTATATTGCTTAAAATGAAGCATAGAAACAAAAATATCAGAAAATGGTGACCACAGTCTTACCACATCCACTAAGATAGAGAGTTAAATTTGGAAATTATTGCAATGATAATGTGTACTTTTTGGCATATGCCTTTTGTTAAGCAAAATATATTAGCAAAGAGCAAACTGGACTATGTACGTTATTGCAAGTCTTAGTTCATAAAACACCTTACTCCAATCTTGGTTCACCGACACAAAATGGTAGTCATGAAACCCTCCTCACTCCAGTCTTAGCTTTGTATAATTCTGTCGCTTGTAATTTAGTTGCCTAGTGCTTGTATCTGTAAATGAGATAGTAAGTCATATAACAATTTACATATGTATGGAGCATGTAGACCTCTATCGACTTAAAGTTTTATTACTCTGTCAGAGCTGTTGTGGACTGCTGCTTTGGATAACTATCTTAGTTTTCTCTGCTTGCCGCATAGCCTGACATATTGATCAAACTATGAGCTAGTAGACTGATTGTTGACTTTCCATTATGAATCAGCTCCGCATGGAAGAGTTCCTTATTTTGAGGATCGCCATCCTTCGTCAAAAGACTGAGTTCCAGAAGTCTAGTAGGAGAATTGCAGTCTGTTCCGAAGCAATATATATGGCGAAGAACCTAGGTACCTGGTGAAGATGATTTTGGCATGGCCATGTGGTGGCTCCATGAGTGTATGCTTGTCATCATTTTGAATTGCTCTTGTCTGGTATATTTACATATCTGATGAGATTGACAAGTGAATACTGGTGGTGTAGACCCAGTGGTCTTTTGCTTTCTAAATGTTGAACTGTTTTTCTTGATATATTATGGGCTTGGCCCATGTAATATTTAATAAATCAAATAAAACTCTATGATCCATAATATTAAGCGTTGTATGGTTTAATACCGTACGGAATTTTGACTGAACGTTGACTCAGCTTATTTGGTTGGAAATTATCCATCTTACTTGAGAAGCTGAAAAAAGGACATAGGAGTGCCACACGCGAGCGCCGCCACCGCCGGCCGGGCCAACCAGGCGGCGAGCGAGCGGACGGGCGGGCGTGGCCAGGTTTTTCCACTTAATCCACATAATTACGGGAGTTTCTCTCTTTTGTGGTGGAGGCGAGTTGATTGCGTCAATTACCGTCTCTTCGTGTCTCCATCTCCAGAGTTCCTCGGCTGACTTTCGCCCTCCTCGCCGCTGGGCATAAAAGTAGAAGTCCTCCGTCAGTCCAACCTTCCCCTTCGCTTCCAAGAGACCACATCTCAGCCGCCCTTTGGTTTTCCCCGTCCCGTACCTCTGCGTGCACGGAGCAACGGGAGAGCAGGTGCCTCCAGAACCCTCGTTCGCCTGCGAACCTTGCACGGGGTGTGCGGCGATTAGGTTTTTGGGGAGCGATTCCACGACTGCTCGTCCACGTCGCAGACGTCTTCTTCCTGGTGATCGCTCGTGGAACAACAAGTCGTCTTCTTCCTGGTGACCGTTCGTGGAACTACACTGCGAACACCTTCCTGCATCGACTGTGGTCCACGACTTCGAGCAACGCACTATGTCTGGTGCGAATGGAGCCTCCGATGCCCTCAGCATGGGACCCTCCACTGGGTACACTCTTAACTCTCTGATTACCGTACTTTACGTACTTACTATATCGATCGGTATGTCATACATGCATGTTGTAGCGTTTGTTAGTAATATACACATATACATATATGTCGTCATGAACCTGCTGATGTTTCATCTGGATTAAATTGACCATGAAAATGCCTAATTATCTAACATTCCAAAAACCTAATATTAGGCAATTTTCTGTCAGTGGTTTTGCTGCTGCTTTGAAGCCGAATATCTTTGATGGCAAGAATTTCATGATATGGCGTGCCAAGAAGGTGTTGTGGTTGACTGCTATGAATTGCTATCACACCGCGCAGGGGAAGCCTGAACAATTTACTTCTGAGGAGGAGCAAAAGTTCTTGGCTGCCGATAACCTGTTTCGAAGCACCGTGATTAGTGCACTTCATAGTAAGTATGAGAAAAACTACATATCTTGCACATCAGGCAAATAATTATGGGATACTCTTGAGGTAAAGTTTGGAGTTTCTGATGTCGGTAGTGAGCTGTACCTTATGGAGCAGTTGTATAACTATAAAATGGTTGAAAACCGTTCTATAGTGGAACATGCTCATGAGATACAGGCGCTAGCAAATAAACTAGAACATTTTTCATGTTTGTTGCCCGATAAGTTTGTGGCCAGCGGTATAATCACTAAGCTGCCACCTTCTTGGAGGAATTTTGCTACTTCTCTAAAATACAAGAGACAAGAGTTTAGCGTGGCTGAGCTTATTGGATCTCTTGATGTTGAGGAGAGGGCGAGAGCAAAAGACAACCGTGAAAAGGGAGTTGAGTCTTCCGCTGCCAATATGGTGCAGAAGAAAAACTTATTTGCATCCCAAGATAAAAAGAAGAACATGCAAGAGAACAATAATACAAAGCCTAAGCACACTGTTGAGTTTAAGAAGAAAAACAACAAGAAAGGTGGAGGTTGCTTTGTTTGCGGGAGTGATGAGCATTGGGCAAGTGCGTGCCCAGATCGCAAATATAAGCAAGAAAAGAAATCAGTAAACGTGGTGATTAGCGAGACTAGAGGAGGAACATCTAGGTATGGCATTTCTTTACATTTTGTTCTTTTAGTTTGTCTTTCACCTGAGTGGTGGATGGATAGCGGTGCTAATATTCATGTGTGTGCTGATGTTTCTTTGTTTACTTCTTATCAGGCCGGCGAGACTGGAGCCTTACTGATGGGAAACGGTTCACATGCGCGTGTTCTTGGTGTTGGTATGATCGTTCTGAAGTTTACTTTAGGAAAGACGGTGCTATTAAAGAACGTGCAGCATGTCCCCTCCATCAATAAGAATCTTGTTAGCGGTTCTCAAATGTGTCGCGATGGCTTTAAAATTGTGCTTGAGTCCAATAAGTGTGTTGTGTCGAGACATAGAATATTTGTTGGAAAAGGTTATGATTGTAGAGGCTTGTTTCGCTTATCTTTGCTTGATGATGTGTGTAATAAAGTAGTGAACAATGTTAATGTTTTGGATGAGTCGAATATATGGCATTCATGACTTTGTCACATTAATTTTGGCTGTCTCACGTGGCTTGCAAATCTGAATTTAATCCTGAAATTTAACTTAATCAAAGATTCTAAGTGCCAGGTGTGTGTGCAATCGAAGCAACCGCGCAAGCCTCACAAGGCTGCTGAGGCGAGGAACTTAGCACCATTAGAACTCGTTCATTCTGATTTATGCGAAATGATTGGTGAATTGACTAAAAGCGGTAAACGATACTTCATGATATTTATAGATGATTGTACTAGATTTTGCTATGTGTATTTATTGAAAACTAAAGATGAAGCGTTGCATTATTTTAAAGTCTATAAAGCTGAGGTAGAAAATTAACTTGAGAAGAAAATCAAACGTTTGCGGTCCGATCGCGGGGGAGAATATTTCTCAAATGAATTTTCTGAGTTTTGCACGGTGCATGGAATTATTCATGAGAGGACGTCACCATACTCACCACAATCCAATGGGATTGCAGAGAGAAAGAACTGCACTTTAACTGATTTAGTTAATGCCATGTTAGAGACTGCG